CCGGCCCCGCGCCCCAGGACCCGCCGCCGCTTGCCGGGTTCCCGAAGCCCCCTCAGGTGGGTCTCCGATACCCCCGCCTTTGGCTGCGGGACTCCCCAGCGCCCCGAAGCCAGGACTTTCCTCCCCTCTCGCTTTCCCCAGCTGCTGGGGCGGCTCGGTGGCTGGGGAGGGGGGCGGGGGCCGAGCAGGGGATCTGGCTGCGTCGAGAAGCTGGACTGGAGGGGGGTTGCGTCCGGGGCGGGGACAGCTAGCTGTCATAGGGAACCGCGGTCCCCGCCACCATGCATCCACCTCGGGCTGCCCTCCACCCCCCACCCCCCACCCCAAACATAGACACAGCCTGCGCCGTTAAAACTGGAGACGCCCGCAGGTGAGGACTCGGGCTGGGCCCTTCCCCCCCTCCCTGAGGGGTTTTTAGCCCAGGTTTAGCCTACCCGGGTGAAAGCCCGGTCCTGGGGACATCCTTGGCCAGGAGCTCCTGACCCTGGGTTCTGTCCGTCTGGGGGAGTTTTCGTCTCCAGGATGGGGTGGACATTCCTGTCCCAGAGTGACCCCACATCTGGAGGGAACTCCTGTGCCTGCCTGTGGAAAAATATTGGGACTTCCCTCTCGCTCTCGGATGTCTACAACTGGGGTCTCCCCTGGCCTGGGAAAGCATTCTTTTGGCCTGAGCTGACCCCAGAGCCCCTGCATTTGGAGGAACCCTTTTCTAGGAGTGCGTCCCTTGGTCAGCCACCTCTGGGCTCACACACGAGGGAAGTCTCCTGCCCCAGAAGTAGTGACCTCTGGCGATGGGGATCCCGAATGGACGCCTTTGCAGGGACCTCCATGTGTACTCTTATCCCAGCATAACAGACTCTCCCCGCCCCCTTCCCCAGGATCCCCTCGGTCAGGATGGAACTGAAGGCCGAGGAGGAGGAGGCGGGCGGCGTCCAGCCGGTGAGCATCCAGGCCTTCGCTAGCAGCTCCACGCTGCACGGCCTGGCGCACATCTTCTCCTACGAGCGGCTGTCTCTGAAGCGGGCGCTCTGGGCCCTGTGCTTCCTGGGCTCGCTGGCCGTGCTGCTGTGTGTGTGCACCGAGCGGGTGCAGTACTACTTCCATTATCACCACGTCACCAAGCTCGACGAGGTGGCCGCCTCCCAGCTCACCTTCCCCGCCGTCACGCTGTGCAACCTCAACGAGTTCCGCTTCAGCCAAGTCTCCAAGAATGACCTGTACCACGCTGGGGAGCTGCTGGCCCTGCTCAACAACAGGTGGGCGGCTCCCACCTGGCTGCTCGCTGGGCTCCCGGAGTTGCATGCACCCCAGCTCCTGGGTACCCCCCTCAGGTGCTTGCCTCTCGAAACCCACCATAGAGCCCGGACCACCCTGTCTTGTCTCCCAGGCACCCCCAAACCTGCCACTCACAGCAAAGGAATCGGGGTACTGCTGAGCAACGCAATTAAGGGCACCCTATCTCTGATCGCAGCATAGTCCCAAACAGCTCTGCCCCTACCCAGCCTGAGCTGTGAGACATCAGCAGCCTCTCTGGAGTGACCTTTGCCACCTTCCGGCTAGTGTGTCTTGATCTTCTCCTCGCTTGAGGGCTGGGGGCAGACCATCTTTAAAGGGTGGAGACTGTAGTATAAAAGACAGCCCCTGCCTTGATCTCTCTGCCCACCCCTCCCTTACCCATGCAGCCACTGCACATCCTAACAGCTTCTCAGACCCCATGGGGCAGGTCCTCTGGACACACCCAGCTCTCCTGTGCCTATGCCCAGGCCAGATCCCCGGGGCTGATAGCTGACCCCAGATGGATCCCTGCCACCACCTCCCCCACCAAGGTTGGGTATGGGACCCTGGAGGCCAAATGGAGGCAGGGACTGAAGGTCATGCTGATCCATTCACCGCTCACTCCTGGCCTCCAGGTATGAGATACCGGACACACAGATGGCAGATGAAAAGCAGCTGGAGATCCTGCAGGACAAGGCCAACTTCCGCAGCTTCAAGCCCAAGCCCTTCAACATGCGCGAGTTCTACGACCGCGCGGGGCACGACATTCGAGACATGCTGCTCTCCTGCCACTTCCGGGGGGAGGTCTGCAGCGCTGAAGACTTCAAGGTGGTGAGTGAGTCCCCTGGTGTGGGGCAGGAGTCAGTCCTGCCCCCTGAGGAGGAGGAGAGGATTAGGAGCCCGAGGACCTCCCATCAAGCTTGCTACTCCGGAGAGGAAGCTGTGTGTCCCTGGGGTTTGCTTCTGTCAGGAGGGGACTTGGTTCAGCACAGGGGTCCATTTGCTCTGTGTGAGGGCCTCAGCATCAGCCTCATGACCACGATGACAGGAAAGAGAGCGCTCAGTGCACAACACACAGAGGTTCACACACACTCACACACACACACACACACACAGAGCTTGGCTCGACCCCCACCCCATCACGCTTACTTTTTGGGCCACAGGTGTCAGAGTTGGACGTGGTGGTGGGTAAGCTGCAGCCTTGTTACTTGAAATGAGGTCTGAGGACCATCACCAGAGAGATTGAAAGAACTGCGGGACTGAGCCACCCCACTTCCCAGACCTACTGAATCAGAATTTGCATTTTAGCAGGTGATTTGAATTTAAGTTAGAGAAGCACCGCGAAACATGGGAAGTAAGGGAAGCTTTCTCTCACATAGCTAGACAGGTAATTCTGTGCCACCCCCTCCCACACACACATGCATACTGTCTGATTGGGTTCCCCCCTGGCCAACAAGAGCCAGTGTCTGAGGAAGGAGAGATTATTTGGGGTACACAGTGATGGCCAAACTGGAGGCTCCCTTTGCTGCTGCTGCTGCTTCTTCTTCTTCTTCTTCTTCTTCTTCTTTTTCATCTCTTTGCTTCTTAAAATGGAGATGCCCCTCAGTCAGTTAAGCATCTGCCTTCGGCTCAGGTCATGATCCCAGGGTCCTGGGATCGAGCCCGCATCTCACTCTTGGGCTCCCTGCTCTGCGGGGTGCCGGCTTCTCCCTCTCCTTCTGCCTGCTACTCCCCCTGCTTGTATGTGCCCGAGCTCTCTCTCTCTCCGTCAAATAAATAAAATATTAAAAAAAAAAAAGAATGGAGCTGCCCCACAGACCCACCCACCACTCCCCACAGATGGGGCTGCCTCAAAGCCAGCATCCCGGGGAGGGTTAGGGGAACTGACTTGTATCTCATGTGCCAGGTGATCCTGGGCAAGTCATACAGGCTCCCAAGAGGTTACAACCAGACAGAGGCTGGAAAGGGACCAAAGGACCTGAAGCCAGATGTGAAAAATAACACCAGATGAGAGACTGATGCTTGTAACTCTTCAGAATGCTTTGTAGGCTCTTCTTCAATCCCCTGGATAAATAGCCATATTATCTCTATTTTACAGATGCACAAACTGAGACACAGGGAGGTGGAATGAGTTGCCTGAGCTCAAGTAGCTGGTTAGTGACAGGTTCAGGATTAGAACTCATGTCTTGTAAAGATCCAACCTAGTGTGCTCTTTTTGTTACTGTTGCTGACCCTGCAGTCCTCGTGTTCACTTCCAATTCTGGTGATTGCTCTTTGAAAACCCAGTCTCCCCTAGGATCCCCTAGCTATCCATGCCCGCCCCTAATTCTCTGCTCTCAGAGACTCCCTTTTCTCCCTGCTCATTTTCTCCCCTGCTTGCTTGCTTCCTCCTAGCATTATGGGAGCATGAGCCGCATTTGTTTGTGTAGAAATGTTGGAGCCGTGGTCATGCTTGTTTTTTTCCTGCTGAGGTTACACAAGAATTCCCAATCTCTTTAATCCCTGCTCTGCAGACCTGTTTCGTGGGCCTTTGTCAATCCTGCCAGACAAAGGTTACATGACCATACTCCTTGCTGAGCCAAGCTGATGGGGAGCATAGGGTGATGCATTAACCACTTCCCTCTTATCCTTTCTCAAAACAGGGAAAGTCCTGGATTCTCCAGAGCCTGAGGGTTCCCAGGCTCACCAACTATGTACCAATGAGTAGTAGAAGTTAACTGAGGGTGAAAGGCAGAGCCTTCCTCCTCTGCAGCATACCCAATACACAGCAGAAGGGAGCAGCAAGGAAGAGAAAACCCATTAGCTTGGATGGTTTGTAGTATTAGATGAAGGGCAGAATACTTGGCTCAACCTGAGAAGGTATAATGTGGGGGTACAATAGTCCATAGAAAGTGTTTAATTGAGGCTCCATTTGTCCCTCAGGTCCAGAAAGATTCCAGGTGATGATGCTAGGACATGTTAGGTTCATGAAAATGGAGATACTGAAATGTGACTGGTCCATGTTATCTGAGGGGACAATTCTAAGTAGTCAGATGGAGATACGACTGGTTCACAAAGTTCTGGAGCAATCTGAGTTCTTCCTCTTGCGTGAGGTTGGGGCGGGGGGAGATATGAGAGCTAGTAGCCTGCAGGCAGGCCCAGCACTGGCATTTCTGGGTTCTGGGTTGTCAGGGAAGACTAGGTTTTTTATGTTTTTGAGCCCATGTGAAAGACTTGACCCGGAATCTGGCTGCACCCAAGGCTCTCAGCCCCTCCTTCTACCCTCTCTCATTGACCTCCCTGTCAATGTTTCTGCGTCAGGAACTCTACCACTTCTGCCTTTATGGATGTTCCTACACAGATGGGAGTTTGGTTGTGAGTCCACGTCTGACAGCTCTGTGGGGGAAAAGAAGGGCTCCGGCACCCTCCTCCAGCTCCCTGGTACCAAGGGGTGCAGACAGGCTCCACCTTCTCTCTCTTCTCCTTTGGTCTAATAGTTAACATCTGCCTCTCCATCCTTGCCATTCTCTGCTAGGTCAAAAGGTGTGTTTCTAGCCCCTGGACAGATGTGGCACTGACTGAAAACATTTGCCTGTTGGGTCAGAGCTTAGGAGAGACCGTCTTGGCATCTTCTGCTGCTTTGAAACAGAGGTTCTAACTGGAAGTCCAAGCCCTGGCTCAAAGTTTTTGCAAAATAAAATGTGCACAGGTACATGTGAAGTCCACTGTGGGTTTCCAAGGGCCAAAATCATCCAACTTGTGAGAACCCTGCTCATGGAGGACAGTTCAGGAGGCATAGGAAGGGGCATATTCTGGTCCCTCCTCTGGCGGGGGTCTGCAGTGATGAGTGTTCCCCCTCAGATGTGCTTCTGAATCCAGCTCAACCGCAGGGGGATGGACTGGTGGTCACAGAGTGTTTGACTGGGTCCATCCCCCAGCTGTAGCTGAGTCAGCTTGGGAGAGTGGGGATAAATATGGGAAACCTGGGCTAAATCTGGGAGAAACTGGTTTCAGACTGAGGAGGCAGAGGGTCAACCTTAGTAGCTCTCTTGAACTACCAAAAAAGCAACCAACGACCCACTCTCAAGGACCCCTCTTCCCTGGCCACCTCTTTTCCTTTGAGGTAGGATGCTTGGTCGCCAGGGCAACGGGTCTGAGGCTCTGCTCTCCCACCCCACCTCAAGGCCAGTAAGGCCAAGGCAGGGCAGGGGCTCCATGGAGGGGGACCAGGGGCGCAGCTGTGTGCCCGTGTCTGGGTGGGGGCCGGAGGGAGTGAGCACAGTCGCAGCTGGTGCCAGCCTCCAGCTGCACCTTATCTGTCCCTGGCAGTGGGAGCGCCTATGTGGCTGGAATGCTGAGCAGCCCCAAGGGGAGGGGGCTGGCAGATGGCTGCCCAGTCAGCCCTATGCCATCCTCCTCCTCCAGCTGAGACCCAGAGCCTTTGCCTGGGGGAGAGAGAGCGGGGAATTAATTTCTGGACCCTGCAAGAGAAGGAAGGGGAGGGCAGAAAATGGAAATCTTGGGGGTGGGTCTGCAGTGGAGACAGTATCCTCTCTCAGGAGGGGGTGGAATTGGGGGACAAGGGATAGGGGACACGAATCCTTGAGGGGGTCCATAGGAGTCCCCCCAGGACCCTGGAGTGGAGGCAGGAATTCCCTAGAGGAGAGATGGAGTGAGGGGGGTGGGCACGGAAATCCCATGAAGGTTCTGGAGGGGGACAGGACTCTTCTGGAGCATCTACAGGGATGAGAAGCTGATAGAAGCAGTGGGTGTAGGTGGGTGATCCTGGGACCTGGAGAGGGGTGGGAGAGGCCATCTTAAAGCAAGCTGAGCCAGGGATGGCAGGTCCCAGAGAGAGCCAGGCCAGCATGAGGGCTTCCTTATCCCCGACTTAGCTCTGCCCCTTCACTGACACCCCTCACACCCACACACCCTAGCTTGCCTCGCCCGCCTCCCACCCCATAGAAGCTCAAACCAGGAGTCCCTGGAGAGGGCCCAGCCTCACTACCTGGGTCTCTTCCCTCCAGCTAGCAGCGAGTGGAGGGGCTGCTGAAGGAAAAGGCTGACCAGACTGCTGTAGAGAGCAGGAGGGTCCTGAGGCACCCTGCCCAGGGGCAGAGGCTTGGTGGTCTTTGTGC